CCTCGGCTAGAAGTCAACTACACGGGGGGGGGGGGGGGGGCTTGCCTAACACCCAGTCAAACGTACAACTGTACACAGAGGTATCTAATACCTCCCTACACTCGGCCACCTACTCACTCTTGGCCTTACCAGGATGAACACTAGGTCAATGCACCTTATGCTCACCGGCAGACATACCCCGTGCAGCCGAGTGTTTCCAGACCCTACGCTAAGCTTAGCGACTTACCGTAGACGGACTTGACCCTTGTGTGGCTTGGGGGGAAATACTGCTCTCTTTAATGGTTAGAGGCCGTCAGGCCTCGCCTATAACCAATCCCTAATGTCTATACAAATATCAAGTGTGGACGGAGCTTTCGGGCTGATCGAAACTTCGTCCTAAATCCGAACTCCTACTGGGCATAAAGTGTACCCACTATGAAACTTCGGAGGCCTCGGCAGGCGGTTTATTTTGACCCGCCGAGACACTCTTGTCACTATCAATCTTCCTGGCACTACAGCGCGGGGAATGTGACCGACCAATCAGAGCCCTCAGTCATCCATCACTCGCAAGCTCAAGGCAGTTAGACTTCGGCCGGAACCTGCCCGGCCGCAGTGATTTCTCGATCTCACATCGTCGAGCGTACGAGCGCGGGTTTTCGGCCCGCCCCCGACTTAGCTGGTGCAGTTTCGCATCGGCGCTTTGTAAAAGGCGAGAGCCGCCGTCCATCCTTTGGTGGAGGGCACGTGTCAAGCGGAGAAGGAGAAGAAGCGAAAACTTGGTAGATGCTTCGGTAACCCCTGCACCGCTGTAAACGGACTGAGCGGTCTTCGCATCACCCTACAAGCCTGCGCTCCCGTTAGTATAGGTATTGTTGGTGTGGGAGTGGGAAGCTAACGCGATTTAGCACGTCTACTACACCACAACTGGTGTCGCGACCCGTGGTTGTGGCGCTTAGGCACCTTTCAAGTCAACGAGCAAGCAAGTGAAGATGGTCAAGACACCGACACGTGCGCGAAGCGGAAGTCTGGCGACGGCCAGCACGCCGCGCTTAGTGAAGTTCGGCCGAGTCGGCGATCGTGATCATGGAAGTGGGGTTGGCGATGATGGAAGTGAAGATGAAGTGGAGATGAAGGGCCCAGCGCCGATGCTGGAGGATGAATACGTCGACGAGGTAACGGTTTTCTTCAGTAAGCCGGATGCTCTGCGCCCGATTGCTTGCCGGCTTGATGCAGAACTCGGCGAAGTCACTCCGGCCGAGGTTCTGGCGCCCGACGAGCTGCCGATCACAGGAAATCGACCGCCGGTGAACGGAGATACTCCGAATGCGTACAAGATACTGGGACAAGTCGGCCGCTTAATGGTCTCTACGAGCGCGTGGGGGGGGGGGGTGATGTTCGCGCCGATGGAAGTCGGCGGTGCCAAGTGGGTGACGCTCGAGAGAGAGCTGGTGTCTCCGATCTACAGCTCCAGCTTGGTCCAACTCAGCGAGCAGACCAAGCGTCTGCTGGTGGCGATGGGCTTCGAGGGTACCAGCGTCCCGTCGAAGGTGGCTCTGGAAGTCTGGGAGCTCGCTGAGGTAAGCGCCGAGCTGATCAAGTGGAAGGCAAGCTGAAGGACTCGTTCGGGGTGCATGGAACGACGACCGTGCGGAAGCTGGACGGCGTTGACCCGAGTCTGGTTCCGCTGCCGACTACGCCGCGAAAAGCCTCCGCAGGTACCAGATTCAGACGCCGGACACCAAGCAAGTCTTCAGCAAGACGCCTGACTCGCCGTACTTCGCGGACTCGCACATGGTGACGCCGAGAAGAACATTGAAGGTGGGTGATTCGACACTCCTGCGCTCGCGGGCGATGAAGACGACGACGTCGATGACACGGGCCACGACTTCGCTGACCCGTGGGAAGACCTGACGGTGCAGATCCGACGATCTTACCGGCGCGAAGACGAAGACGGAGCTCAGCGAGTTAAGCTGACACACCACATCTCGCTGATCAAGTTGACGAAGTTCTCCGGGTCTCGAAACCGCAGTGAGCGATCGCTGCGGTGGCTCAAAATGTTCATCTACGAGATGGAGGGAATCAACACCCCGCGAGACCACTGGTGCGAGCCGTTCCAACTCCTAATGGAGAGCGGAGCCAGCAACTGGGTTCGCCAACTCCCGAAAAAGACGCGCAACAAGTGGTCCCTGCTGTGCGAGGCGTTCATGGCGTACTACTGCTCGCAGCATGACCAATCTGCCGAAGACCGATATTACACCGCCACGCGGGACGAGGGGGGGGGCGCATCTGCGACTACCTGCTGCGCCTGAATGGGTACGCTCGCTTGGCGAAGATCTTGTACGAAGCGGACAGCACCGTCGGCGCGAGGCACGTGAAGCGTTTCCACGACACTTGTGACTATGAGATCGGGAAATGACTGCGGCCGGGCAGGTCCCGGCCGAAGTCTAACTGCCTTGAGCTTGCGAGTGATGGATGACTGAGGGCTCTGATTGGTCGGTCACATTCCCCGCGCTGTAGTGCCAGGAAGATTGATAGTGACAAGAGTGTCTCGGCGGGTCAAAATAAACCGCCTGCCGAGGCCTCCGAAGTTTCATAGTGGGTACACTTTATGCCCAGTAGGAGTTCGGATTTAGGACGAAGTTTCGATCAGCCCGAAAGCTCCGTCCACACTTGATATTTGTATAGACATTAGGGATTGGTTATAGGCGAGGCCTGACGGCCTCTAACCATTAAAGAGAGCAGTATTTCCCCCCAAGCCACACAAGGGTCAAGTCCGTCTACGGTAAGTCGCTAAGCTTAGCGTAGGGTCTGGAAACACTCGGCTGCACGGGGTATGTCTGCCGGTGAGCATAAGGTGCATTGACCTAGTGTTCATCCTGGTAAGGCCAAGAGTGAGTAGGTGGCCGAGTGTTGGGAGGTATTAGATACCTCTGTGTACAGTTGTACGTTTGACTGGGTGTTAGGCAAGCCCCCCCCCCCCCCCCCGTGTAGTTGACTTCTAGCCGAGGCTTCGCCCCGGCGCCCCTGTAAGAGGCTTCAATTGGCCTGGCACCCTTCCTTTCTGAGGGACCACAGAGGTTTAGTGCGAAAGCACGACATTGCACATTGCACCCTAGTCTTAGCTCGTGGCTAAGGGTGCTCTTATACTTTACGTAAGGGTAAACCTACCTGACCCGCAACACACAGGGAGGCACATTCCAGCCCGTATAAGGGATGGGGCCTGGTCTTCAGGTTTATTATCCCGACAATCTATCGCCGACCTTTCGGGGTAGGCGTGTGTTGTTGGTAGAGCTCGTCCTAAAGACTTCGGTTGATAGGGCGAGGACTCGTAAACTCGTGTTTTCCTACACGATAACTGGTGCTGCGACCCGGGACTGGTGTGACCGATTGTGTGGTCTGTGTAGGTTTTGTCCAACGAGCATTGAGGAGAAAAGAAGAAGAAGTGAAGAAGAGGAGAAGAAACAAGAACAAGAACAAGAACAAGATGGCGAAAGGGTCCAAGCCAGCGGTACCAGCTACGCCGGTGAAGTCGGGACGAGGATCGGCCGAAGGTTCGTCAACGATCGCGTGTGGCTTAACGTTTCGGTTGTCGACGATCTCCGAAAGGTCGGTCAGTTTCGAAGAGTCGGTCGACGAAGATTCGGACGCCAAGGATGACATGATGATGGACTATGATGACCTGGAGAAGAAGACTCCAGCGCCGACGCAGGAGTTCGGAGATGAAGATGCGATGCTGTCCGCGGGACGTAGCGGAGGCTCGCGTTCCTTGTCCCGGAACCTCGTCGAGGAATTTGATGAAGTGGCGAAACCCGACCATGCGGACGACGACTTTGAGGATGGCACCGATACCTCGGCTTCGAGGCTCTGGTGCAGGTTACTAAGGGTCCTCAAGAATCCCGCGGAAGTCGGTCCGCTATGAACAGCAGTCCTCCAGCTGCGAACAAGGTGTTCGGCAGAATGCTCGAGCAGATGATGGAGTCGAGCGAGTGGATCTGGCAGTTCAATCCCGAGATGACGCGTCAAGCGACTTGGGCTGAGCTGAAGGAGGAATTGCAACACCCCGTTGAGTCGACCTCGGTCACCCAGGTGGCCGAGGGCACGGTGTCCCTCCTACGAGCGATGGACTGTGAGCCAATAACTCGTCCGTCCAAGGTCTCGATCAAGGGTTGGACGCCGGGTCTCGCCGGCAAGTAGCTGCATAAGTGGTAAAGGAAGCTTCGTCTGAGCTTCGGTGAGTCAGACCTGACTTTGGGACCCCCCCGAGTCCTCGCCCCGCAAGAGAGCAAGCTGATCCTTCGAATATCCCACTGCCGCAGACACCCAAGAAGTCTGCCGAGCGGTCAAACCGAAGTCAAGCGACGGACGGAGTGTTCTCCGCCAAGACCGAAGGTTCGCCGTCCTTCCAAGACTCGCACATGGTGACTCCAAGGTCGGCGAGTCGAGCGGACCGCATTGCGCGTGAGTCCGAAGGTTCGCGACGCGAACAGAGCACGCAACGAAGCTCCACGCGACGCTCGAGCCGCCGGTTTACGCCGCGCGATGACTCCTCGTCCGACGAGGACGACAATGACAACACCGACTATGAGGATGGGTTTGACAACCCGAGCGATGAGTTGGCCCGTCAAGTGCGTGAAGTGAGTGAGATGGAGCGACTGAATTCGACTCCTCGGCTCGAGATCGCTACGCACCGGTCGCTCGCGCAGATCAAGAACTTCTCGGGAGCCCGCAATCGGAGTGAAAACTCTATGCAGTGGCTCCGAGCGTTCGTCTACGAGATGAAGGGAACGCACACTCCGCCAAACGAGGGGTGCATGGCTTTCGAGCTGAGCCTTCAGGACGGTGCCCTTCACTGGTACCGTCAACTCCCGAAGAGGACTAAGCGACAGTGGAAGCGACTCAGCGATGCGTTCATCAAGTATTACTGCTCGCAGGTTAGCCAGTCTGCGAAGGCTCGCTACTACTCTGCGAAGCGCGAGTCCTCGGAACACCTTTGTGACTACCTCAACCGACTGAATGGTTACGCTCGCAACGCTGGTCTTCAGTTCGAGAGCGGTGGTTGCGATGCGAAGGACCATGTGCAGCGGTTCCTCGAGACGTGTGGTCGAACGCCGGCTTTGCCACGTTCGGGTGAAGGACATTCACGAACTCGAGGACATAATCAACGACATCTTGAAGTCTGAAGAGCGTGGACGGTCGCGCGAGACCTCGTCTCACCACTTGCGCAGTCGAGACCAACCGCGCCGTCGTGATGACCGTCGCCACGAAGCTTCGCGTGACAGCTACCATCGCGACCGCGACCGCGACCGTGGTTGCGAACGTAGCCGCGAAGACTCTCGGCGCCGCGATGACTCGCGTTACGTTCCACGCATTTCGCTAGCTGAAGCTTCGTTGTCAGACCTGGTCGCTGAATTGCAGGTCCGAGATACCAAGGGTGGTAGAGCCGAGCGCTCGTCACCACGTCGTGCCTCGTACAGCGACAGCGATAGTGATGCCAGTGGTTACCCATAGTCTGAGAGTGATCGGAGTGAGGGTGGCTACAGTGACGTTAGCAGCTCGGGAGATGAAGGAGCTCATATTGCTGCTGCCAACGAGCGCGAACGACGTGAAGCAGCTGAAGGAACGTACGCACGACCTGACCAACGTCAACGCAGGGGTGGTGAGCCCGGCCGAGGATTCGACCGGAGTAACCACCACTCTGGCCGAGATAACCGGGATGGACGTCCGCGTCAGTACGGACCGATTCGGCTCACTACTGCTACCGCCGCTGCCGACTGTGCCAGCAGGTGCATGACATCGGCAAGTGCGAAGCACTTCAAGCCCTCACTTCGTTCATCAAAACGAAGGCCGAGAAGAAGGACCTCTCGCCAGAGCTCCAAAGCCTAGTCTTCGGTGGCAATTTAAACTAGGCAGGCCGCCAACTGAAACTGGGTTGGTCCCAATCGGGCTGCCACAGTTAGCTGAGCCCGCGAGAGATGCAGACTGTGGCTACGCATTCGTGGGCGAAAGCAAACGGCCGAACGACACGGACAAGGAATGTGTGAAAACGACGGAAAATGAAAAGGAGGGAGGGGTAACCCTCGTGTAACAAGTGAAATGAATGATGATGAAGATGATGAAGATGGCACCGAGGCTTGGTTCTTAAGTGCGGTGCAAGAAGGACGCCCTGGCCGAATGCCCAGTGGGGTGACGAAGTTACTCCCAGGCGAGAGGCTGGGGTGGTGGTCCGCGCAGAAGTTCGCCAAGAGGGCTCGAATGAGAGCTCTGGTCAAGGGCGCGGTGGATGACACGCGAACGAGGATTCTATTGGACACTGGCGCGAATGTTAGTGTGGTCTCCGAGAGGTTCGCGAAGCAGTTGCGTCTCCGTGATATCCAAGGTCACGGTCGCTGCATGGAAGTTAAGGGTTTTACGAAAGGAACCATGACAACCGAGAGACGAACCCTCGTGAAGGTAACCCTCGGCTGGAGCAGAGTGTACGAATTCGAATTGTGGATCATGGATCATGGTGCTGGCGTGAACGTAGTTCTTGGCACCGACTTCATGATTCCTGCAGGAGTGCGTTTCGATTCGTTCCATGCGACCGCGAGGTTGCCGGACGAGGTGAGCATTCCGCTCATCAAGACGCTGAACATGCTGAATGACCAAGGTGAAGGCCCACACGTCAACGGTGGTCCGTCCGAAGACTTAACCATTGAGAGCCGAGAGTTCGCGGAGAACAGAGTGCCGAGGCGTCAACCACCTCTAGATACACACGAGGTGCGGGTGCGCCGCACGAAGGCTCTGTTGCCTACGGTGACGAAGTTTCGGCGAGGCAAGGTCGATAGAGTGCGGCTGACGAACGTGTCAAAACGTTTTACGGTTTGCCGTGCTCACTCACCTATGATAATGTGGGTACCGATCGGGGATCTCCCGAAGACTGTAGGCTATGTTCGACTCAGTTCGGAACGATACGAGGACTGGAAGAAGCTAGCTTATGACGGAAGTCGGGATGAAACGGTGTTCAAGCGTGAATGCGATGCGTATGCCGATTGGCTGGCCTTCGGCTGTGGAGCGACCGGAATATGAGTCGCCGGCCGGAGTGCTACCCCAGCCACCCGACGCTTCCCGGACGCACGGCCGCCAGCTAAGCTGTGCCGAGCAGTGGGAATGTGAAATCGCTAAGCGTGAGGAGCAACTCACCACCGACGGCTCACCAGTGGGTGATGATCCGGTGGCGCTCCCTCCCGTGCTAGTAGAAGCCGATGACACTAGTACCGAAGATTCGATTGAGTCCGAGCGTAATGGAGATTCGACTGTCAGCATCGATGAAGACACCTCGGACCTAGAGGTGATAGCGAGCCAAGTGCCAGCCGAAGCGTCGGATGAAACAGAAGACGATTCAGACTGGGGTGACAGTGAACAGTTTCCCGGTTCCGAAGACTCAGTCTAAGATGAAGATTCGGCTGACATGCAATTACCTGTTGGCCGCTGCAGCTGTTGAAGTTGAGGATGGAGAAGTCGGCGTCGAGACTGACAACGGTCGAGCTGAACATTTGCCTAACGAGATCAACTTGGAGGATTACGCTCATGAACTAGCTTATCTGCCCGACCTTACAGAAGCATCGGTCACGGAACTGGACTACTCGGCTGAGAATGTCCGGCATACGGAGCTGAGTAGAGGACGGCAGGATCGCTTAGTGAAGGTTCTGAGGGAAAGCGAAAAGATCATGATCTCCAGTGGGAACGCGCTTCCACCGCCGGCATACGGCGTGGTGTGCGACACTGATGTACAGGGCCATGCGCCTATCAAGCAACGAGCACGGAGGATTCCCCTCCGACACCTCAAGAAGCTTGACGAGCTCTTGTGAGGCTTGCTCAAGGCCGGTCTGATCGCGTTCTCCAACAGCCCATGGTCGTCACCGATCGTGATTGTGCTGAAGAAGAATGGCGTAGATATCAGACTGTGCATTGATTACAAGATGATGAACGCAGTCACCGCTATCATGGAGTATGCAATGCCCATTGTGGATGATCTGCTCACAAACCTGGAGTAGTATCTGTGATACTGCTCGCTTGATGCGGCGAGTGGGTTCTGGGCGATCATGATGACGCAGAGGGCTCGCCAGATCTCTGCGTTCGTGTGTGCATTGGGTCACTTCGAGTGGCTCAGAATGCCCTTCGGGCTTAAAAGTGCACCTACGATATACCAACGAATGCTCGACAACGCTCTGTGGGGCTTTGTTCAACCGAAGGGTGGCTGGAAGCATTACGCGCAGCTAATGACAGAAGCTGAAACGTGCGACCGCGAACTCGCCAACGCCTCGACCGAACAGTCACCTGAAGAGTCGTCTGACCCGGATCAGTCGCCTACAAAGTTTGAGGCGGGACTTGAAATCGGATCGAGCGAAAGCTCGGTCTCAGAGCTGGTCAACAGTCCTATTGCGGACATGTTTGCGAATGGAGAGCCCGACGAGTCTTCGTTGGTGCCGGCCTTCGAACGGCGATCGTTCGTTGACGATATTTGCTTTGGTGGCGAGTCTTTCGATGCATGTCTTGCGACGATCGATCGACTCCTCGCCCGGTTCGAGGAATATCGGGGCAGCGTGAGTTTCACCAAAAGCATCTTCGTGCAGCTCAAGGTGGACTTCCTGTCCCACGAAGTGTCCCGGAGTGGCATTAGAGCGAACCCTAAGAAGTTGAAGGCTATCACCGAGCTGTCCTTCCCAAGGTCCAAGAAGGGAGTGCAAGCTTTCCTTGGCGCTCTGAACTACTACAGTCGCTTCATACAGGACTTTGCTGTCTATGATGCCGCGCTCTACCAGCTGCGAGACGAAGACTTCGCACCAGGGGTGACCTCTCTGCAGCCAAGCGAAGCTTCGCGGCATTGCAACGAAAGGTCGGTGAGGCACCTGTCCTCCGACACGTCGACCGTGACCGAGAGGTCCATGTGACGCTGTTTGCAAATGAATGGGCAGTGAGCACCACGCTCATGCAGGAGCACGATGGGCTGATCCACCCGGTCCGCTTCTGCGGCCGAGTGCTCAAGGACGCCGAGATGAACTACCACCCGGCGGAAAAGGAGGTACTGGCTTTGCTGCAGCTGTTGAAGGTGTGTTACACCCAGCTTGCAGGTCGGACCATACATGTCTACACGCGGTTTTCGACGCTCGACTGGGTCCACAAGTCGAAGACACTCTTCGGACGTGCAACACAATTTGCCGTCTTACTGTCCCCGTGGAGTCTAGTGGTGCAACGAGTCTAGGAAAAGGACTGCGCCTTCGCGCAGCTCTTGCAGTCGACGATACAAGTTTCGTTGACCTCGAAGACTCGTTGGCACCGGTGACCCCTCGAGCTAAAGGCTCGCCGAGTGTTCGGATGGATCCGCATTTGCTTTATGCACGATTGCCACGCACCTACAGTGGTTACGTACTTTCGTTTGATGATTCGGCGAAGACCGAGAAGCATGGTGGTTACGGCAGTTGCGCCTGGATATTATGGCGACTCCCTGAAGGGAGTGTAGTGATCGCTGCGAGTGCATATCTCGAGACCACGACTGTAAACCTCGCTGAGTACACCGGAATGGACAACGGGGTCTCTGCATCCCTAGAACATGGGGCCGAGGGCTTAGTCATCGTCGGGGAGGGGACTCGAGACTCGCAATCCAGCAATCCCTAGGGGTGATCGCTTGCCGTAAGGAGTCGCTGATGGCACAACTGAACAAGCACAAAGAACTGACCACGAGACTTCGGTCCGTGAAGTATCTACATGCCATCCGTGAGTTCAATGCAGCTGCAGACTCTTTGGCGAGCGAAACCTTGGAGAAGAAGGTGTCGATGGCAGTGATCAGCGAAGACCGGAAACGAGAGTTGATGAAATTGAATCGGATCCGAGAAGTGCTCTATGAACCGTCAGCCGAAGCCTCTGAAGCTTCTGGAGAGGTTGTAACGCGTCATGTGAACTCGATATGTGTGATGGATATGCGTGACAGTGACCGTAGTAAGAATTTTTTCGATTTTGTACGGGAAACGGGACATGTAGCCGCGGCAACGAGGCAACAATTCCGCGCGCGTGCGAAACATGTACGCTTTGCGATGAGACTTTGGGCGATGGGCCAGAAGAGAGAACCGGAGGAGACAAAGCTAATGACGTCGCAACGAAGAGTCTAACGAACTTCCAGGCCAACCGAGGCCTGACGCAACGGTGGTCCATGAGCCGAGTGCTGACGACATCGACCCGCTAGTTGTGCAGGAAGAATGGCGCAAGCGCATCAGCAAAGCTCAGGATGAGGAACTCCGGTGGTCGAACCTCAAGACGGTGCTAAAGAGAGAAGAAGCGAAGCTTGCCTACAAAGCTGCACGCGAAGCCTGGAAGATGGCTGACAAGTTCGTGTTAAGTAAGGATGGCTTGCTGTACTTCCTTGGTGGGAATCGTCGGTGGGGTCGCAACCGGACCGAGGAGACAACTCTACGCCTAGTGGTGCCAACGACGATGGTTCAGGAGATCCTACAGAACTGTCATGACTCGTTGGAAGGCGGTCACCACGGCATCGTCCGAACTTACCACCGAGTCAAGGCTGACTACTATTGGATTCGCTTATTCGCCGATGTCAAGAAGCACGTACGCTCGTGTCCGGACTGTAGCTCAAGCACGAGTCGCCCGCAACTACGTGTGTACTCGCTGGGCAACATCCTGGCCGAGCGTCCGCTACAAATTGTCTGGATGGATTTTGTGATACCCCTACCGAAGACTCGGTGGGGCAATACCGCACTGTTACTGTTTCAGTGGATTCGTCATGGGCAAGGCGATGACGGACACGTCTGCACTCTGTGTAGCGCAAGCGTTCGAGGAGTGCGTGTACCGAAGGTTCGGAGCGCCGTCTCTGATCAGGCATGACCGAGACCCGCGCTTATGAGTGAGGTCTTGCAAACCTGCGCCGAGATGATGCAGTCGAGATCTAGAGCTACGTTGACTATCGGCCGCAGGCTAATAGCCAGCAGGAACGCTCGGTCAAGATCGTAATGTGATTGGTGCGAGTGTACGCGGAGGACCCGCTGCAACAAGATTGTGGAGAAGTTGATCTTTGCGATTAACAACTCGCAGGACGCCACGAGGAAGGAGTCCAGCACTGGGTTGACCGTAATAGCAGACGCGACTTCACGAACAGTCATGGCACGCGGAACGAAGAGTGGAACCCTAGGGTTGCACGGAACGAAGGTTGTGTTGTACGGGTGCTCGAACGGCACATCCACCCAACAGTTGCGCCAAGGCTGGTGTCCATCCAGCTCCAGAGACTCCGAGACCCAACCATCCGACCGCGGCACCCACGTCAAGTTCTTGAGTACTGCAACACCGAAGGCTCGAGCATAGTCTCTGTCTCGCACGAAATGTGGCCAGCAAAGTCTGGGAAGCACCGCTGCCACCCGCGTTTCGGGATCTGCAGACGCAGGCGGTCTGTTGCGCTCGCTGTTGTACTTGACCCACGCCGCCAGGATCGCGCAATACTCAGGCGAGTCCTTACCGAAGGGCTCTGCCAGAACCTGGAGGAAACGCTCCACGGCAGTCGTTGAAATTCAGTGCCTCGCTCGAACAGTGAGAAGCCTAGGTCGTTCTTCTCGGTACGACCGACAGATCGACCTGTGAACTGTCGCCAGAGCTTTACCAACAGCGCTCGAACCTCGGCGCGAATTGAAATTGGAACGTCCGGCATGAACGCCTCAACCTCGAACAGGCAGGGCTCGTCCGGTATACTGGCGAGAACCCTCTGGAACGAGTGATTCGGATTTGTCCAGTCCGACCACTCCTCTATACATTTGACCGCACACTGCACCATCACGTCACCAGCAATAGGCCGAGGCATCCGAATATTCTGGATGATGCACCAGCACGGCTTGGCCCCATATGATTGGAAAGGCGGGTCAAGGAATGGAGTTGCAGTGTCCGGCAGCTTGCGAGACACCCGAACGAGGGGCTGCTACCCGTGGACTGGGGCCGGCGGTGTGGTAGCCCGAGCGAAGCTTGACATCTCGGCCGTACTTGCCGCTGAGAGGGTTGCTACGACTTGGACACGAGGGTTGCGCTGCCGGCATCGGCCAGCCGAACCTTGGGAACGCGAACGTGGAGGAGAAGCTGGAGCCGAAGGCTCGTTAGCACTTGGCGCAGTAGTGTCGCCGATAACCTCGTCGTCTGGTGCATTCTTACGCTCAAAATCTGACATGGAGTGGAGAGCCGACGTAGTCGAAGCCGGACGAACAGGACGCCCGTCACGACGCGGTGGAATCACGACAGAAGCCTCAAACGGCAAACTCTCAGCAGGACGTTTGGCTTCAAACAATTCGTCCCGATCCGAGGTCACGAACTCGACTTCTGCCTCAGAGGAATTGGAGAAGAGGGCAGTAGAAGCCCCGGAAGGGTGAGGAGAAGCCGGAGAAATTGTGCTGGAAGCAGCCGGGCGAGTAGCCGAAGTCTGAGAAATCTCCTGGCGGGCGGTAGACTCGACTGTGGCCGTGGGTGATGAAGGGCGAGGAGCCGATCCGAGGCGAGGCCGATGAAACCTTTATCGCCCAGGGGGGGGGTCGTATAGCGCAGCCCAAGACTGTTCCCCAGGGTGTAGACCCAGAGAATCGACTTGAGAGTCAACAGCAAGAAGATAGACCCAGAGATTCGCAGTCGCAAGCTTTAAACCCTGGAAATCACACTCCCTGGTTGGCGTGGGTACCTTGTGTAATCCCTGTCGGCTCATTTGTCTTCGACGGAACGGCACTCCACCGGTTGTAAATGTAGCCTCGAAGAAGTGCGGGAGTGCACGTCTAATCCAGAACGCACCTCCACACCAAAGGCAAACCCAGAGAATCAGACCCCCCGAAACCCAGAATATCACGAATTCAGGGTCCAGGATTTCAGTCAACTCCGGGACTTGGAGCTCAGAAGACACCTTACCCAAATGCCCTCCTAGCTCGATAAAACCAACAAATACAGAGTATACAAACACTACAACTAGCCGTCACTTATTCTTTTGGACCCTTAGGCTCACTCAAGTCTGAAATTCAGGGGCCTAGCTCCCCTGAGACTCACACAAACGCGCACCACTTCCAATAAAGGAGGAAAATGCAATCACTATCAGTTAGATTCCCTTCACACAAGCAGTCAATACAAAATCCTGGAGACGACTACCTAGCACCCCAGAATACCCTCTGGAATAATATCAAATGGGCTACCACGAGCACAGCAAGTGACCCAACTAGGATAGATGGATCACTCCAGGAAGCTCAAGGCCGTCGCTGGTCCCCCACTAACTGGACTTGAGTTGATGGAGTTCACACAGACGGCTGTCCTTCGCCGTTGATGTACCCTTAGCGTCCCGCGGTCGTAGTCTCGGGTCCTCCGGATTTCCGTCGGCAGGCTTGGCCGAAGTCACTTACGCAGTACAGGGAAAATTGAACTCTGTTTGTCTTTTATCAGCTACTTCTCTCTCTCTCTCTTACTTCTTTCATGCATTCTTCTTCGGGCAAATATCTTCTGTTCACTATGCTTGGGGTCAAATGTCTTGTCTTGAGTATATCTTGGGTTCAGTGGTCCAAACTTGCGATCGGCTTGCGATTCCATTGTCGCACGGCGTCCAAAGTGCCAATTGTGGGTCCTTGGACTTGGTTTAGTATGGTGCAGGACTCCCTCTCAACTCCTCGAAAGTATCCAGTCTGCGCATCCATAACGGTTCTTCAAGGTCACGCATCACTTTGATTGCAGACTGACTTCGAACTGACTCGAATCCCTGAAAATCAGGTGACACTCAGGGTCATCTTCTGAAATCCTGGGAATTCTGAGGAATCTTGGGGAACTGTGGGGATTGTTGGATGTTGGCTTGGGAAACACTTAAGTTCAGCATGGAGAGTCTGGGTTCTTGATCCAAATCCAGAGAATCATCTTGGAACTCTGGGTCACCTGTACTCAGGGAGGTGAACTCTGGGCCATCGTGCGGCACTCTGGGTTTCGGTGCACGCTGGGTAACAAGTCTGCTATATTGCAGGCTCGCGTGTATCTCCACAAAGCCAAGCTTTTAGCGGGTTTGGCGGCCTCCTGCGCATGATCATGGTGATAGCGGGTTGATTCTCAGGGTAATTTGATCCTCTGGGGCACTCTGAGCCACAGCAAGATGAGGTGTATTCTGGGAAACATTCGCCAGAGATACTTTCCGCCAGACTTTAGGCACTCATCGTAAGGTGAAGTCCGCGGCTGGACTGAGTGTTCTCTGAAATCCTGGGCGTGCACTCCCAGGATTCACACTTCCAGCCAGTTGGGCCCATCTGCGGTCCGGCGCTGGATTCATCCCGAGAAATCACTTCTCTCCCACAGTCGCCATCCATGTCACACGGGTACAGCCGCGCCATATCCAAGTCATCCACCAATCAGCATCCATACAAACTCCAAGTCACAGAGGTGACGGCACCTCGTCGGCAATTTCCTGGGGACCGCCTCGTGTCAACCGCTCCTGGTCCGGGTCCATCAAAGAGGAAATCGCTCCGAACTGGTGAACCATGGCCACGCCACAAAACCACAGAGGGCAATCCACTGTCCACTTCGATACGGCCGTTGCACTCTGTCGACTCCCAGGATTTCATTCACTTTGGCGGCACCCTGTCTCCCCAACGGTTGGTCAGGGCCTATCTTCAAGGTTCTCCTCTCAAACACAAAAACTCCAACGGGCAATGCGCGGTCACATCGCCATTTCACAGATCGTCAACATGGCGGAGAGCGCGCCTTTAGAGGCAAGCAAGCGACGGCGCCAGCTCAAGGCACGGCGTCCCCCGGCAGCGCGCCTCCTCCAACACAGCAGCGCGCCGGCGACGCCCCTGCGGACGCCGCACTGGTGGGTGGTGGCAGTGATCAGGCGGGGAACTCAGCGTCCGGCGACACTTCGTCGGGCAACGCCAAGACGGGCGCGACCAAGCACGTCTCCTTCTCCAGCGACGCGGGCAAGACCTCTGACGCGGACATGCGCGAGGCCGATGGCAATGCCTCTTCTGACATGAACATGGAGGGCGCTCCTGAGTTCAAAACGCCACGCCACGCGACGCTGGAGGACGTCAGGGGCTCATCTTCGCAGGCATGCTTCGGCAGGAGGAGGTCGACCTCCCTAGTTTCCTGGTCCCTGAACGCCCACCGCACTGGAAGCTGCCGGCTCCGCCGAATCTCAAGACCAACGCGTATCTCGTGGGAGTCTCCGGGATCGTGAACGACATTCGTGCGGTCGCGTTCGCCATGGAAGGCTACGGCGACGCGACTACGCTGGTCGGCATCGAGGAGCTCTCCGACGAGGATCTTCAGGGGTTGAAGGAAGTCTGTGGCGCCGACGCTGGGATCGATATCCTATGTCCACGTCGTTCGCCTCTTTCGGCATTCGAGCTGGACAACACCCTGAATTCCATCGGTATTCGACGCGAGATGGCTTCACTCCTGCGTCACTTCAACAGCAGAAGGCTCGCTGAACGCGTGTTCAAGATGACTGGTTACCTGCGTCGCGTCCTTGAAGCCTATAGGCACATGCGTTCCCTGGCTGATTCCCAGCAGGGTGCTTCCGCTGTCCAAGACACGGTCGACACGCGGCGCAAGTACAAGGAATGGAAGCGCTCCTGGAAATTCACATGTGACTGGAGGTTCAAGAGGCCCTGGGCAAGGCGGATTCCGCCGGGGACCAGCAAAAAGCTGCGTTGCAGGAGCAGAAGGCGCGATACCAGGACGAGATTGATTCCCTGGAATCCGAGAAGGCGCAGCTCAAGACGCGCCTGGCGGACTCTGAGGCTCAGGTGCGGATCCTGAAATCGCGACTCGAGTCTGCTGCTGTGGATCCCTGGAAGTTCTCTGACTTCTTGCAGGAACACACTGAATTCACGGGTAATTGGGAGCGTCTCCACGACCTCTTCAAGTTCTGCATCAATGACGCGAATCCTCCTGGATCCTGGGGCACAGTCATCAACGTCACGGCCATGGACAAGCGCAAGGCTGCGGTGGCCCCGTATCCAGAGAAAAGTACGCGTATGCCTCCGTCTTCAGGGTCTGGATCGTCCAGTCGTCCTGAAATTCTGGATCTCATGGGTCCTGCCAGCAAGTCTCGCAGCGGTTCGAAGACCGGGGGCAAAACTCAGGATTCCAAGAAGTCTCAGGGTTCCAAGAAGGGTCAAGGCTCCAGTAAATCACGGGACTCTGAAGCGCCAGACACACAGTCGAAGTCCGCAAGCTCCAAGGTTCACAAGGTCCAGCGTCGTCCCAAGAATCATCAGCCTGGCCGCGACTCTGTGCGTCGCGCCGGCGAGAAGACTGTGGTGCCCAAGGAGGCCGCACACACGATGCTCCCTGGGGGTGTCGTCTGGAAGGTAGTTCGGCCAGACGTGCGTCAGGCCATTCTTGCTGGGCTCAAGTACGACACAGCCATGGAGTGGGTCGGCAGCGACTAGGCGGCTCACGGGCATTTCCGGCAGCCGCAGCTGATCAAGATGCTCGTGAGCATGATGTACTGGCGTCGTCTCGACCAGACTCCCTGGAGCAAGTACGCCCTGAGGTCTACTACGAAATGGCGGACGAGCGTCTGGATCGGCGCCTTCGACGTGGTGACACTCCGCCACCCTGGGGAAACCTCGACGATCACTTGGTGTATCCTGACGAAGACGCAGACTCCACGGTGGACGACATTGAGAACGACCCCGACTACAAGCCTCCTGCTCAAGACCCAGAGGAAGACACCAGCAGAAGTTCCGAGGAGGAAGAGCCCCTGAAATTCAGGTGGCCGCCGATGCGGACGTCGAGGAGGAAGAGAAAAGGACGACGACGAAGAAGTCGAAAACCCCCTGGAATCCAAGCCTCCTGTCAAGCGTCCGCGTTCTGGGTCCAGCGGGAAATCCCAGAGTTCCAACCCAAAGCCTAAGAAGCAGCGTCGCAAGGAGTCCCAGAAACACACTTCTGGTACTCAGGGTTCCAGTGCAACTCAGGAGACCAAGGCCCCTACGCGTCCCAAGAAACCATCGACGCTCGCTCGCAAGTCATACGCAGAGCTCACCGTTGAAGACTTGAGGACAGCCGAGGTCCCCGAAGATGACGAGACCTCCTGGCGCATCCACGGTATCCTGGTGTTGTATCCAAGCTCGACCAAGAGTGCGTCCTGCCAGACTCCTGGGTTTCCAGAGTATGAAATCCACAAGTACTCATACGATGTCGTCCATGACCGCTGGAACCACAAGGCATACCAAGCAATTCTGGATTCCGCGCCGTGGGAGACGATGTTTCAGGGTATTCTACTTCCACGAGCGAAGCTTGCTCACAGCGAAGGCACTCAAACTGGTGGAGGACATCGTGGACGCCATGCGCAAGCACGCACAAGCAATCTGGGAACGGGGACACTGGGTGCCCATCCCAACCGAGGCCACGGCAGATATCCGCATGGAATCGCAGCGCAAGGCCCGTCGGAATGCACTTCGCGGAGCGTTCAAGACACTCATGGAGCGCTCTCACAACACCCCTGGATTCATACCCTCGTTACTGCACGAGCCAGGTCTCTGGAAGATTCCTGACAAGTGCTGCCACTGGATTTGGGAGGATCCCAGGGCCACGGTTCTCGAGGGGCCCATGTGCTATGACTTGGAGACCCAGCTTGCTGCGTTGGACATGCGCGAGCCGGCTCGGGTGCACTGGAACATGTCGCGTAGGAACACGCAGTAAATTATATAATAGCACACTTTCCCCACCAACAACACCCACCAAGTCCCGATGACTCAATGGGCTTGTTAGGGTTAGAACCTGAAGGTCCAGGAACTTTCCCTTGTATCGGGTTGATGTTTCCTCTGTGCACCGTGTTTCCGCTTAGTCAACTGACGGAACCCCAGCGTCCCCAGCCACGAGCAAAGGCTGGCACGCTCTCACACACAATATAAACCTCGCAGGCCCTCAGGAAGGAAGGGTCCCAGCCAGTCACGGCTTGATACGAGGGTGCCGGAGCTATACTCCGGCGGGAAGGATAAATGGAGTGCGCTCTCGCTCCTCCACTACACGGCGATGACTCGCCCTTCGTATACACGGCCACCTCTTCTCTTCTCTTGGCCTGACCACGGGTAAACACACGCTACGATACTAGCAGGCGCGTCCACCGACAGTCATAATCCTACCAACAGGTTTATCCAATTGCTACGGGAACTCACCGATAGCCCGAACGTCTTCCTTGAGTGGTTGGGAGGAAAGCTGTTCTGTTCTTGTTGCCCAAAGGGCTTATCTGTTCTATCTTCTCTTTCCTATGGTTCAATACAAATAACTAGTCTAGACGTGTCCGTTTTGGATCTTCCAGGTAACCACCCGACTCTTCAGAGCCCTCTTGAAAGATCGGACGGCCTCCCGATGACTCGAAGAGTCGCCGTAGGTGCGGAACTCAGGCCAAAGCTCGCCGTAGGTTCGAGTCGTCCTTGAAGTCCCGGTGTTGTGTGGACACACCACGGCTTGAGCTTGAGTGTCGACGAGTCTTCGTCATCTGTCCAGACTGCCCAATCAGCGGCCGTCGAACACCATCGAACGAATGGCGATGTGCCTCGATCCGCCAGTTGAGTTGACGCCGAATGCCGCGGGGCTGCCGTGAGCTTCACTCAACTTTCTCGACACCACAGCTGCCCACTCCGTGTCGCGAGCCACGACACTTGGTGAGCGTCAGGGTGCTCCCGGTGTCTTCGCGCTACCACGGCTGGGTCTTCTCGCGCCGCGAAGGCTGCGCTGGCCCGCGCGTTCCGAGCGCTCGGTGTCGATCCTGCTGACATGGTACGTGCTGCGTCTGGTCTTCTGCTCGTGCCGTCGACTGCTCACCCTCACGCGTGTGCGCTTGTTCTGCTGGCGGCAGGCTCCTGCCGCGTCGAGTTCAGGTGGCAGCCTCTTCGGTCAGGCTTCTGCTGCGCCTTCGCCTTCTCGGTCGTCGTCTTCTGCTCGCGCTGGGTCGACGACTGCCGGTACTCCGCGTCCATACGATGCCGCGCAGGTGCGTACCCCGTCTCTGCATGCGTCCTCCTTCTTTTCACTCATGCTGATGTTGTTCTCGTTGATGCGTCTGCTTATATCTGCAGTCGGCTGGTGGCGTCCCTCTGCAGCCACTTGTCGAGGCTGTGCGTGGCCACGAGTCTTCGGGAACCCCGGCAACATCTCGCCCTGGGTCTCCTGGTCTTCTCAGCCTGTCCCCGACAACTCGCGCGGCCGTGGTCAAGTTACGCGGTGCTGAGCTCGAAGCTGGAGTCTCTCGGCCGTCTCTCGGTGAATCTGCAGCTGGGACCGAGCATCCGTGGTGATCGCCGCGTGGGTTCTCGCCTGGCGTCGGCCCGGAACCTCGATGAAGTGGTTACTGCTGCGGAGCCGAATATGGATGTTGGCGAAGGCTCGACGCTGGACACGGCAACTATGCGCGCCCGGCTGCACTCTGCTGAGTCAGCGCAGGCTGCTGCCGAGAATCGGTTGCGGTCGCAGACGTACTCTTTGGAGAACCAGAAGGTATTCTTGAAGAACGCGAACGACGAGATCGCACAGCTGAAGAAGGAGGTCGCGCATCTTCGCCAGCTGGAGGCTCATTACATCGTCGAGCTCGAGTCGTCGAACGCCGCCGTGGATGGCTACAGAGAGTGTTCCAAGCGGCAGGAGAATCGTGTCAGGGTGGCCGAAGACTCGCAAGCTCGGACTCTAGCTCAGCTAAAGCGTGAGCAGGAGGTCTACAAGGCGGCCGTTGCTTCGTCGACTGCTCAAAGCAGGCGCTTGCACGATCTGCTAGCTCGCTCGGACGCCGCCGACGACACCGCACCAGCTCGCCTTCGCCGCCGCAATGAGGACCTCGAAGAGCAAGTGAAGCGGCTGACCCGTGCCAACAAGACGCTTCGCGCTCACGTGCAGCTGGAAGAAATGGACCCCGACGTCCTGGTCCTCGCTGTAGAAGGCTCGTAGTCGCCACTTGGTCGTCACTTGGTTTATGTTTGCTGACTTTGTTTCGATGACTCATCTTGCTTGCAGGTATCTCGACTGGTGAACTCAATTGGAGCTTGCTGGATCTTACTCCCGAGTCTCTCGCAAATTTGCAGAAGCAGTACCGTACAGCAGACCGCTCCAAGCCTGACAGAGATATCGCCGAAGACTTGGCTCGGACTGCCTTCTCACTGAATGACTCCATCGGGGATCCCTTGCGCAAGGACACTCCCGCTGGTGCCAACAAGACCACTCCGAGGACATCTGCCACTGCAGTCAAGAAATCCCGCGCGTCGTGTCGGTCATCGTCTTCTCCACGGTTCTCGTCCCGCAAGAGGTCTCGCGAAGACTCGGGCTACGTCAGTGCTGCTGCTTCCCCAGCTCGGCCGAGTCGCTCAGGATCGAAGGCTCGCAAGACTTATCATCGGCTGGGTCATCGGCGCCATCGTCTCCCGTGAGGAAGTCGTCGGAGAAGCCCAAGAAGTTGCTCAAGAAGAGGAAGGAGTCTCGCTGGGCACGAAGTCGTTCTGCGTCGGTGCCCCGCGGCTCTCCGGTCTACGCGCGTTTCAACGGTTCCAGCGTCTCTCCGCCCACGAGTCCTGCCCCAGTCGCGAAGGCTACCGCGCCCTCTGTTCCTGGTTCTGCGCCGCCTGCTGCTTCTGTGGAAGCTTCTGTCCAAGCTGCTGTCCCAGTCCCCGGTTCCGGTGACGATCCACAAGTTGGTGGCTTGAGTCATCAGGCTGACCGCGGAGAGACGGACCAGCAGTCAGCTTCAGTCGAGCAGTCACCGGCGGTGCCTCAGTGGTTCGGAGATGACTCGGATGCTGGATTGACGGAGGGTCTGGTTGACGACTCAGTGGTTGATGGCAGTGCTGCTTCTGCTGATGAGGAGGAACTCGACGAGTGGGAGGGAGAGCGCGTTGAGGTGGTTGCTGTAGTTCCAGCTCCGTCACCTCCGGTTGCTGGCGGTCTGTCGTCATCGGGTTCCACTGACCTCTCGTCATCAGCGCCAGCTCTGCCTCCCGCCAGCGCTGAGTCATCAGCTTCTCTTCCGGCTGTTTCTGCTGCTTCTGCTGAGTCGACGGACACCTCAGTCGCTGTCTCATCGGCTCACCGGTCTGCAAATGCAGCATCTCAGAAGGTTCCGACGACTCGTGCTCGAGGTAAGAAACCGGCTAAGCCTCGCCATAAGTCGTCAGCGCGCCAAGTAGTCACTACGCAGTCATCGGCCCCAGGACCAAGCTCAAGTTCTGCACGCTCTCTGTCTGCCTCGCCTGCAGCCCGAGATGTGCTGCCCACTGCTCGTTACTCCAAACACGTGTTGAACTGAGCCATTCCATACTTGGCTCCTGAATTCCGGTTTCCTGGCGCTTCCAAGTGCTGGATCCAGATTTTGAATTGCGAGTTGCCGACTCCTATTCCCGGGGATGCTCGGATTGCTGCCACGGCTGCTGGGATCAAGGCGTTTAAAAACTTCAAGAACCCGGACCACCCATGGCAGCAGCTTCGCCGGCGTCTCCCGGAGTACGCATGTTTGTTCGACATCCATGGATTTGATCCTTCTGTCAAGGTCTCCCAGCGAGCGCCCCCGACGACTCGAGTTAACGGGTATTGGAGCAACTTTCGAGGGTACGGGGATTGTAACAGGGTTACACGCACAAGTGGCTACAGTCACTTGTAACTCTAACAGACACGACGTCTGTTAGAGGTTCGAAAGACTTTCTCGACCTTGGTGTAAACACACCAAAGGCTACATACATTTACGACCACCACGACGGGTGGTCCATAGAGACTTAGGATTCCTATTGGCTGAGAGCAGCATCTCTTAGCCAATGAGCGACATGCATATCGTTGGAATTCTGCCAACCAGCCGTTGGCAGATTCCTATCTTAGAATATTACATTTCGAGGAAGTCAGAAACATAAAACAAAAATAGCAGTTCTCATTTTAACCCAAAAACATTATTTGGATCGTTTATTTAGATTAATCTATACACGGAGGCCCGAGTATAATTAACTCTAATTTAAACTAAGCTACGCTTCCTCACATACACGCGCACACGTGTAAGTTAAAGTAGTGAGCCAAAGTAGGCCCACTACACCTGGTAGCACTTTGTAGTCCGTCCAACGACCGACTACCTGAGTTCGTACGTCACCGCACGAACACGGAGCTGAGAACCTTCCCATGGATACAGAGGTGCCCATGGAAAGCTCCACTACGCCTGCAACTCACGTTGTACGCGCTGACTGTCCCCACCTGTCGGATCCAGAGTGGGAGGCCCTCCAACGACTGTCAACAGTCATTGGTGAGGCGGCTGTAGCTACGATGCTGCGTACGCTAACGCCGACAGAGCAACACGGTGTTGCTCTGGGTTTCATCCTGAAGGAGCAACGCGATGTTGCTGCTACTACCGCGGTGTCGTCCGGGACGACACCACGCGCGCAATCGCTGAAGCTCAATGTGAGCAACTATGTCGGAAGAGAGGGTGAACCTCTCCTCCGTTGGCTTGTCGAACTCGACACTGCCATTGCGGCTCGACGTATCGTCGACCCGTTGTCGAAGGTTGCGTTCGCCATGTCATGTCTTGGCGGACGTGCAAGAAGTTGGGCGTATGGACGCCGACTCTCGGATCCTACGTGCTTCAGCACGTACGAGGGTTTCAAGGAAGAGTTCAGACAAGCGCTTGAGCCACCGCAAAACGAGTTCCGGTCGAGGGCGGAGGTTCTCGACCTGCAGCAGGGCAAGCATGATGTCCATGCTTACGCTCAGAGAGCACGGTACTTGGTCTCGAACATCGTGACCAATCCGATCGACGAGACGACCAAGGTCGTCACGTTCATGAAGGGGCTGAGAGATGGGCCTGTGAAGACCTATCTCTTCCGTGAGTACCCGAGTACTCTCGAAGCTGCAATTACTCTCGCAATGCAGGAGGAGTTTAGTCTGTGGCAGGCTAAGCTGCATGCACATGTGCCGACGCCACAGCCACGCCCGGTAGTGAGGACCGGAGGCCCAGAACCCATGGACCTCTCGAGTGCTGCAACCGCTGGACCCCAGCAGTCGCAAGGAAACAATGTGCGATGCTACCGATGCGGTAGAATCGGTCACTTTGCTCGGGAGTGCACGGCCCCCGTGCACCAGCAGGGTGGCTATCGCGGCGGTGCCGGGCACCGTCGCAACCTACCAAAAAACGCTGGACGCCAGTAGGCGCGGGGCGCCCTACTGGTAATGCAGTTCCGCGTGTCGACCTTGGACACGCGACACTGAGGACTGCAGCCCCCAGTGAGGTTCATTCTCACTGTAAGAACCAAGATGACAAGCATGACCTTATCATCCTGAATGTGAACTCGATGAGAGCAAGCGGCTCTCTCCGTGCTTTGGTAGATTCTGGCGCGTCGAAGAACTTTGTTCGACTGCGAAGTCTATCAAGGCTTGACTTCGAGGATTTAAAGATACCTCGAAGTATGTTGGAAGTACGACTGACAACGGGTGCCGTCGTGAAGACCGAGAAGCGCATGGTACGCGTGCGCTTCACGTATGAAGATCAAGAGTTTGTCGAGACGTTTATCGTCCTGGATCTGGACGATAAGTTTGACATTGTATTGGGCATGCCATGGCTTTCACGGCATGATCCGGTCATCGATTGGGAGAAGCGCACTCTCGTGCGCTTCGGTCGCGACAGCGGAACAGTGAGCGATGGCCCTGTTGCCGCTACGCACGCACCGACAGGTGCGCGCGACTCCCCACTCGAGACAGCGCCTAATGCCGCTGTCCCGGAACACCCTGGGCGCGCGCGAGCACACGCGCAAGAGCAGCAAGCGTCGGCGTCGCCGCCGACGGCTGAAGGAGAAAATGTGTTGATCTCGGGGATCGACACCCGCTTTTCAGCGAATCAGGAAGAGTCTCCGACCTCAAGGGGCACGGATGACGCAGACGAGTCACACGCCTCAGCCGTGGAGGCTGATGCGAATCTGATTGGATCAGGTCTGGCCAATAATAAGAGCCAAGGTGACGTAACACCGTCGACTCCGGGAGTCGATGGCTTGGGTGAATTTGATTCGTCGGCTCGGGGAGCCGACGCACCCTCCGTAATGGGTGTCTCCGCCAATGGTTGGCGTCGAGGTATTGAAGTCGCATCGACTCCGGGAGTCGATAGCATGGACAAATTTGATTCGTCGGCTCGGGGAGCCGACGCACCCTGTGTAATGGAGGGCTCCGCCAATAACAGGCGTCGAGGTAAGGATGGCGTGTCGGCTCTGGGAGCCGACACTGCAGGCGGTGCGGACGGTTGCAAACGTCCCGTACCGGAAAAACTTGTGCAGCCGAGCTGCACGACGAAGCGCCGGGCGACCAAGCCGGGCTTGAAGTCGCTCGCCCGCGGGATGTACCCGCCGGCGGTATACAAGAAGAACACCCGGCCACGGCTGGGCCTGGACGAGGTCACGAACCAAGCGGAGCCGGGCTCCGCAAAACAAGAAGACGGCGCATGCGAAGGTCGATGCGCAAGTCTCGGCCTGGGGCCGAGACGCTACAGGAAATGTCTGCCGGGCAGACGGAGGCTGAGAAGCCGGACGTCGAGACGCTGAACGTCTTGACGCGTACCTGTGCCGGGTTCCGGTATAGGGAGATGACTCTCGCTAACCCTCCGACGCAAGCGTCGGAGTTGACTTCGCTTCCAGTCATGAGCTGGAAGCGCTTCGCGCGTGGCTTGCACGATGGACGCATCGAGCAAATATGCATTCTCTCGGACGCCGAGAAAACGAAGAGCGAGAGTGACGAACTGAGGCAGTTCTTCATGGAGAGCACCACTGAAAGCGAGGACACTCTCAGTGCGAAGACTAAGAAGGAGCGCTTTGAGGAGCAGAGCGGGGACTCGCTGAAGACGAGTCCCTTCTACGAGATTCTACGGGAGCACGCTGACGTGCTTCCGGAAGAGATCCCTGCGGAGCTTCCGCAGGACAAGGGCATCCAGCACGAGATTGATCTCGTGCCGGGGACAAAGTACTGTGTCACGCGGCAGTGGTCACTGCCGCGAGAGCAGGTCAAGGCGATCGACGGCTTTATTGAGAGTCGTCGCAAAGCTGGACAAGTGCGGGAATCGAAATCCCCGCACAGTGCTCCGACGTTCTGTGTCAAGAAGCCACAGGGCGGTTGGCGCATCGTTCATGCATACAACAAGCTGAACGATGCGACGATACCGGCGCAGACACCGATACCGCGAAAAGATGTCATCATCGATTCGATGGCCAGGAGCACTATCTACAGTGCTCTTGATCTGCGCGATGGGTTCTATCAGATCCTCATGCGTGAGAGCGATATCCCTCTCGCGGCTGTGAGCACGCCGAGCGGCATGCTCTGGGAGTGGCTAGTGATGCCGCAGGGTCTAAAGAACGCCCCTGCGACCTTCAACAGGTGCGTGACGCACTTGTTGCACTCGGTGCGCAACTTCGCACCGACATACTTCGACGATGTGTTCGTCCACAGCCGGGCTGCGGACGGGATGAGCGATGTTGAGATGCACAAGGTGCATCTCCGGAAGCTGCTTGCGCACATGCGCAAGCACAAGCTCTATGCGAACCTGAAGAAGTGCATCTTCGGGGCGAGCGAGATACCCGTGCTCGGGTGTCTCGTCGGGAAGAACGGTGTGCGCCCTGACCCTGAGAAGGTCAGAGTGATCAATGAGTGGCCGACGCCGTCGAACGTCAAGGAACTGCGGCAGTTCCTTGGCTTGGCCACGTACTTGTGCAAGTACGTGAAGGACTACGCGGGCATGATACGCCCGCTGTCACAGCTCCTGAAGAAGGACGCCGAGTGGGTTTGGACTGCTGAGTGTCAGCAGGCCTTCGATGCAGTCAAGCGGGACTTGACTGAGGCGCCGATCTTGGCGGTGGTCGACCAAGATCGCCCATTCCACGTTGTGTGTGACGCATCCGACTTCGCAATCGGATGTGCGTTGATGCAGCACGATCACGAGGGTCGTGATCGTGTCGTCTACTACCAATCGCGTCAGCTGAAGCCAGCTGAGCGCAACTATCCGGTACATGACAAGGAGCTCCTTGCCATGAAGTACGCACTCGCGAAGTTCCGAGTGTATCTACTCGGAAGCAAACCGTTCGTGGTCTATACGGACCACGCATCGTTGCGAACGGCTGTGAAGTCGCCGCACATCTCGCAACGGATGGCGAGATGGCTCTCATTCTTCGCAGAGTATAACTTCCGGGTTGAGTACAAACCCGGAAGACTCAATGTGGTGGCTGACGCGCTCTCGCGTCGACCTGACTACGCCACGACTGATGCCGACGTCAATGTCATTGACGCCATGCGATCGAGCAC